AAGTTTCTAGCATGCCTACTAAGAGCTTGATTAGCTGGTTCAGGTGTGTTTAATTGGGGTTGGAGCTAAACTCTTCAGGACACCGGCCCTCCAGGACCGAGTTTGGACACCCCTGTTATAGGAGATATATCACAGAAAAAGTTTATTCATCATCATCATTTAACAAAACACTCAATGCAAAAACCATTTGTAATACCAAAAGATTACACATTAACCAAAAAAACTAGCATATGTTGAGAGTACTTATAAATGATCAGTGTTTCCATATTTCACCTTCACCACCATTTATACAAAAGGATGCAGCATTTTTGCTGGTTAAAAACATTACACACATGCAGCTTCAAAAAAAGAAAAGAAAAACCACTCACACTGGTACAAGTTAAGTTTATTTGCACTATTATCATATACTCACCATCAGTTTCAGCTGCCTCTCGTGCTTCTCTCTCCAAGCGCTGCCTGAGAAGCTCTTGCTGTTTGGCCAGGTACTGTTTAATGAAGCTGTTCTGACTCATTTCCTCGCCAATCTAAATTGAAACACACGTAATCCAAATTGTTACAGTTGTTTTAGAGCAGTTAAGCCATCCACACAAGAACAAACAGTAAGATGCTTGTTCCTACTGTAAAACAACGCAGTTCAGCTCACCCGGGAGTTAGGCTGCAGGCCAATGTGATGAGTGGAGGTTTTCTGAAGGTTCTCCAACATGAGAGCCTGTTGCACATGCAGAATGACAGAAACACATACTTCATTATCTACACTAAATACTTACACACACTTCACAGCAAAGGTAACAAGTATAAGTACAAGACCTCTAAACATCTGGAACTGGACAGCAGACAGTGTTAATTACATTACATAATGGACACATACATAAGCAATTATCATTCATTAATATTTAATGTTTGTATGGATCAGAGTGAATGATCTAAGGAAAGAATAAGTATAAATATAAAAAACATGTACTTATTTATTGATCATCATTAAAACACACATATGGATTACTTCTGATCATTTCAATTATATATGAAACAAGTAAGTGCACTATATAAGAACAAGACGGGGATAGAAGGAGATTTGTTTACATCCGTTCAGTAACAGTAACTTCAGATCAAACTTCAAAGCACTAACGCAAAACTCCCACTAACGCAAAGCAACTGTGATGCGACTTCAGTGTTTATTTCAACAAAAGCACATGACATTCAAGGGGTAAGAGGTGTGTAATCTTTCAAAAACTTAATATTTTAGAGTTTTTAGCAGGGGTGTGGACTCGAACTTGTGACTTGCAAAACAATGACTTGGTCCCACCTCTGGTTTTTAGTAAGCGCGTCCCCGTTTCATAAACCCCCACCCCCCTAACACCTTATGCATTAACAAAGCGCGAGCCCGCCGACAACTTAAAAAAAACCTCACAGTTCACATCCATCCAGAGACTTGTAAACACAAACCGCATCGCCCCGAACCCTCTGCGTCCTCCCTGAACTCGCATGCATGGAAAATAAACGGCGCTTTTGCACGCCACACACATACATATAAACAGGCAACAGCGGGGGGACATGATAACACACTATAAACTGGATGAGCACCGCAGCTAGTGCGCGCTAGCAGCTAGCGAGAGACCACCGACGCTCGGCCTCCGAATCACGGTCCTCGGACTCTGCGGAGCCGAGAAAACAGCAACTTCCACTCACCCCTTTGAGCCTCTTGATGAGTGCATTCTTCTGTCCGCTTTTCGGAAGCCCTCTCTCTTCCAATGCCGCTTTCAAATCCGCCACCCGGAGCGAATGGAGCGGCCTCCCGTCCAGCGTAACGTCTTCGAGGTCCGCCATCTTGATTCCCTTCGCTCGTTCTGTAGCTCGCGAGGACCGCAACGCCTTCCTCACCGACGTCAGCGCGCCACGAGCGCTTCCGGAAAAGGCGGAGTGGAAGCCAATAAAAAAAAAAAAAAAGGCGGAGTGGAAGCACGGAGAGAGGACTTCAAAGTTGTTTGATGTTTTACAAAGTAACAGACAGTAAACCTGAATTCATATGCTAAACCACATTGGACATGATTGAATTGCTTCTTGTAAATTTCCGTTTCAACATAAAACCATTGCAAAGGCAAACAACGCCATTATTAAAGCCTGTCCGGTATTCAGCTGTTAATGCTGAATGCAACGCAAGCGTATTCGCATGAAAACCGTTATAAACCTCTTGTTTTGCGTTTATATTCTGGATATAGTCTTGTCTATAATGTGCATAATCATTAAGATTTATACTGAAATTAGTCCTCCAATATTACCGTTTTGTACATTAACCTTGTTAAGTATTGCGCATTACGTTCATATTCTGGGTTAATCTGCTTGCCAGTGCATAATATGCATCATTAATATAATATATACTGAATTTGGTCCACCACTGTTTGGTCCATCACTGTCTAAATTGCTACATGAATCCACGTTAAGCTTTTATGATGTCCCACGTCGTATGTAACACCACAGTTTCCACTATAGTGTGGAGAATCGTGATTTTTTAAAATTAAAAATAATAAATACAATATCGAATTTTGAAATTCTGCGTACAAATTAAAGCACGATTTATTTCAGCACATCGGTTGTCTGTTCGTTTTAGTAAATCAGTTTTTAAAAATCAGCTTAAAATCAATTAATTTCGCAATTACAATCTTTGCTGGAAAAGTATGTTTTTATTTATGACATTTCTGCTATTAGGCTATTAAAGTAATCTTTTCGTCCCTTTCAGTAACAACCTCTGTATGAATCGGACATGTACCAGCTCTCGCTGAGTCGTTGACTCGACTTACTGATTCAGTTCATTTCATTAACGAATCGTCTAGTCAGATTCGTGAGCAAGACGTTTAGATCGGGTTTGTGAACAATGTGAAAAGATCCGATCAAAAAGAAAGATTCATTCACGAATAGGACATCGCTAGTATGCAGAGCTCCCCCTGTGTCAGAGCCTATGCAAGCGGTTTATTGAACACAGCGAGCGGCTCCCTTTGAGCTTCACGGCTCAGTCGAGATTATTTCCCATCTGGTTACCGACGTAGAAAGTAACTACATGCTGTTTTCGACGTAAGGTGACAAGTCCAACTAAGAAAAGGGTAACATTTTATTTAGAATGACATTTTGAATGAAATAATATTTAAAAACGGAGGTTACTCGTTTGTTTTGGTCAGCTAGCAATCTGACGTTAGCATGCATAGTGTGTCGTAACAAGGAAGAAAAATATAAGTGTAGCCTACAGTGTAAATACATATGGTACGATGCAAAAACAAAAATAACAGTTTTATAAAGGCTTTGAACCGATGATGTATGTTAAAATGCATGAACGTGGCTTATTCAATGTTTCAGTTTGTGTAAAAAGTTATTAAAATGCTCAGCAACGTTAAGGCATCCAGTTTCTTTTAGCGCTATAAGTTTTTAGTACCATCAATGATAGTCCCGCTGAAATCCTCCTTTTTCTGTCTTTATTAGAAATGGCCTGGTTCCACCAGGCTTTACAAGGCTCGGGCCAGCCAGATGGATCCATGATGCCCCCTACAGTGGAAGATCTGTCCCATTCTCAGGTCTCCAAGCACACCATTACACAGTTAGGGATGTCTGATGGGCGAGGTTGGTCAACTCTTCCCCCAGTTTCCATCACAGACTTTCCGCCTGCTTCAGGAGGCATTGTTCCCCAACGTCTGGAAGCACTGTCCTACACATCCCTCAACGTGGGCTCCAGAGAAGACTCTGTGCCGCTGTCTTTCGTGACGCTGCAGGAGCAACGATGTGTACTAAGTTGGTTTTTAGGATGGAACGCTGTCCAGAAGCAACGCTTTCTGGAAGATCTGATTTCAAAGGCTGTGCCTGGAAAGGTGTCCAGTTTATTAGACCAACTCAACACACTGCAGGTGTTTTATTTTGTTAATTTATGTGAAACTTAATGCCCTTTTCTTTGTTGTGTGATTCTCGTACGTAAAGGAATAGTTCACCCAAAAATGAAAATTTGCTTACAATTTACTCACCCTCAGACCATCCAGATGTAGATAAGTTTGTTTTTTCATAATAACAGACTTGGAGAAATTTAGCATTAAATCACTTGCTCACCAGTGGATCCTCTGCAGTGAACGGGTGCTGTCAGAATGAGAGTTCAGACAACTGATAAAAACATCACAATAATCCACAGCCTAGTAATTCACACAACTCTAGTCCATCAGTTAACGTCTTGTCAATTGAAACAAATTCATTATTACGGCATTTTAACTTTAAACTGTCACTTTCGGACAAAATACTAGTCCATAATAACACTTCCTCCAGTGTGAAAGTCCATCTCCTGTTGTCCTCTCACATCAAAATCCATCAAAATATTTGTTTAGATCTGTTCTGGATTATTTTCACTTGTTTTGTTGTTCACTTGATTTGTGCATATTTCTCTCCTGATTCAGATGAGATAGCTTTTTCACTCAAGAAAGCAATATTATGGAAAGAGGACTCATATATAGTTTAGCAGTAAGCAACAGGTTGAAATTAAAAACATCTTAATAATGAATTTATTACAAACATGCCTTTCACTTCACAAGACGTTAATTGATGGACTTGAGTCGTGTTGAATACTTATGGAAGATTGAGATCAGCTGTTTATGGATGTATGTATGTATCTATCTGACATAATCAAATAATGCTAAGCAGGTTCATATGTATGATAACATGGATATCTTCTTTGTCTCTGCATTTCAGGTGAATGATCGCCCACCTAACATTTTTGAATGCCAGTTAAGGCTGTGGACTCAGTGGTTTGATACATGGAGCGAAGAAGAGAGAAATGCCTTTTTGAACAGCTTAGAAGAGAAGGATCCAACCTTTGCTGCATACTTCTATAGCCGGATTGCTGGAACAGCAGGCAGAGATTGAGGGTCTTCGTACAACGTTTTTTGTTTGTTTTTTCACTCTTCAAAATGAAACTGAAATCAAGTCTCCTATAGACTGTTCTACTGTTAAAAAGAGTTTTGAATAGCAATGTTTGTTATGCACGTGAGTGTAGTTTTCAAGCACTCTTGAGCCTGTTTAGATGCAAAAAAAAATCTTGTTATAAAGTTGTTTTTTTCTAAACGTTTTTCTTAAATAATAAAAAAATAAATAAATTTCACTATTTATGATTCCTCTGCATGGATTTGATGCTACAAGCTTCGCATTCTCTCTCTTGATGTTGAAGGGACCGTTCACCCAAAAATGAACATTTTGTCATTGTTTACTGACCCTCATGTTGTTCCAATCCTGTATGTGTTTGTTTCTTCTTCAGATAAGAAGATATTTCGAAGAATGTTGATAAGCAAACAGTTCTGGTAACCGTTGACTTGTCCATACCACTGTGACATTTAGCAAAGTATCTTCTTTAATGTTCCAAGTAAGAAAGTCAATATGAGGGTGAGTAAATTATGACCGACTTTTCATTTCTGCATGAATCATTCTTTTAAATGTTAAAAAAGACACCAACATATTAGAAAAATATTTATGTTTTTCAAATATAGATGATTTATTAAAATGAAAGATGCCATTCAAGCATGCAGTTGAGAGTAATAACAAGCTGAAATATCTAAAGCAGAAAGCAATTTCTTTGGATACAAAAACAAACTCCTAATATATGGAGATCACTGCTTGAGCCAACCGGTGGACTGAGGTTGCTTTAAGATCAAGGAAGGCTCATTTAAATAAGTATCACTGCAGGTTTCAATATATGGATGGATTTTTCCCTGCAGCACATTGCCAGTGAAGCTAAAGATTTCAAGCTTCCTCTCTACATCATAGAAAGTTACCTTATTATTTTTAAAATCCAACTGGACCCCAATTACAGAAAGTGCATCAGTGTTTAGTTGAACCGTCCTGTCAGCCATGGCAAAAAGTTTTGCAGCTCTATTCTTCAGAATAACCCAGTAGCCAGCTGAAGGGCCATATGTCAGAATACCTTTTCTCTGAGCGGACGCCCTGGCTGCACCCACAACATAACAATTTTTTCCATTCACACCTATTTCCCAGTAATGTTTTCCAGAATCATATCCGTCTTTTCCCAGAGCTGCAATAGCTGTGTCGTAGCGCTCAGTAGTGTCAGGTACAGGCTGAGGGAGTAAAGAGGTACGTGCTTCTTTCTCATCCTGCGAAATGACGAGTCTGCGGTGGGCAGTATTTGCGTCAAGCTTCGGCCATTCTGACGTGGGCACACAGACAGACGTTTTTTAGTTTGATTGCAATTTTATTATTGACTAGCTAATTGTTTTTTGTTTTATTCTGTATATTATAACCAGACTGAGATCACAAACTTACCACTCTTAGGAGGTTCGTTTTTTCCTATAATTTCTAGATAAAGAGTCATAAAAGAAATAAATCCATATATTGTTAATTGTGAGAATAAAGCTAGTAATGCTTTTTGCTTAGATCAAAGAAATATCTCACCCTCAAGTTTAGCCACTTGTTTTTGAGTCTCAATCAGGTTTTGTCTAAGTTTCTCGTTCTCATTGATCACACCTATAAATATTTTGAAAATATTAAAACCTCTCGGTTCACCTTCTACAGATACATGCAAAAGATATTTGGTCCCAGGCCAAATTTCATTTGCGTTGTTCACTTTCTGTATACCGAAAGATCATTGCACCCCACTCACCATTTAATTTATTTTTCTCTTCTTTAAGCTCGGCCTTTGTATCAGCATATTGCTTTTGCAGTGCAGCAACTTCATTGTCCTTCTTCTGGAGTTCCTGGTCCTTCTTAGCAAGTTCTTGTTTTTTTGCTTCTAATGTCTTTTCTAAATCTGATGAAAAAATACTTATTATTAGTCTTAGAGAAATTTCAAATGAACGATCTTGAGTTTTGAATACAATATAATGGACCAAATGATAAAATATAAAGCTGTAGAGCACATTTAAATCTGCTGACTGGGCAGTG